AAATTTTTTTCTCTTCTACTTTAGGTGGAAAAATTCAAGCAAACTGAATGTGATGGTGGCAGGAAACTAAAGAATAATTATCGCATTATTCAGAAGAGCAACAACCGTCCGGTGTTACTAGTTTTGAATAATAGAACGGGTGCAGCTGCACCTGTAGGAGTTTCCATTGGGTTAGTAGTGCTAGCTGCATTGTTAGCTAGATTCCTGAATTAATAAATGTAATGTAATTAATGTGTGTAACTAAAATTGACATATTTTTACTTGATACCAAAGATCGTTATTTTGGGCTATTAAAATTCAGCAAGTTTTAATAATAATTTTTAACAATAATTTTTACTTTAAAAAAATATTTTGTCATATAAGAAGTTAAAATTTTTTTAATTTTAATTTGTATTGTAAAATTATTTTTTTTATATAAATATTAATCATATAAGTATTGTGAAAAGCTTTAGATGTTAGGTAAAATAGTTTAATACTGGAGATTATATTTTGGCTGGAAAATGTATCAAGATTTTTTTATTGTATTATTTATTATTTAATTTTTTATATTTTAATACCAAATATTATTTAGTTTTTTAATTAATAGGAATGGAGTTTGTTGATTTTTAATAGCCTGAGAGACAATAAACATAAATTGATATTATTTGTTACTTATACTCTATCTGATTGTAATACTTATAGTTTTAAGTGTTTGTAAAAAAAATAAAATTAACCTTTAAAAGGATTTTATATGAGTACTAACTACATAATCCATATAATTTCATATGAAACATTGTATTTAATTTAAAACAACATCAATTTTTATAATTTCTTACGTTAATACGGTAATGGAGAAACTTAACAGAACTGGTTGGAATTATAATTTTGAAGTTAGATAATAATTCTAGATAGACCACTACTTAATTCTAATAGTATTATTTACTATTGAAATTCTTTTTAATTTATATTTTTATAAAAACACAGATTTTAGTTAGTGAATGCACTAATTGACAGAGATAAATGTACATTCTTCATATTTTCTAAAAACAATTCTCTACAATATATTTCAATATTAGTATTCTAGTAAACAACTCAATAACGTCATTACCTAATAACACTGCAAAATGCAAAAA